CTGCTGTGGTAAAGACCAGGGAAGAGGTGTTGAGTTGTCTTGATCACTGAAAGAGGAAGAATCAAGCATGGAGTACTCTCCAGCCAGGCTAAGAACATACTCCAGGAGGCCCCAGGGAAATCTGTCTCAAAACTTAAGCTATGGGGCTGGGAAGGTGGCTCAGTGGTAGAGTGCTTGCCTTGCATGCATGAGGCCCTGGGTTCGATTCCTCAGCACCACATAAGCAGAAAAAGCTGGAAGTGGCGTTGTGGCTCAAGTGGTAGAGCACTAGCCTTGAGCTGAAGAGCTGAGGGACAGCGCCCAGGCCTAGAGTTCAGGCCCCACGACCAACAAAAACAAACAAAAACAAAAAAACTTAAGCTGCAATTCCTTCTCTAGCAGTTCAGCCCTGTGTGCCACTAGCCTGCAATCATCCGGGAATTAAAACCAAAAAAGTCTGTCAAGAAAAAGAAGAGTGGGTGAAGAACAGAGCAAATTCCTCTGCGTCCACTGACAATTCCAAATTAGAAGTTTCCTTCTGGAAGAGAGAGAATGGTGGGAGGGATAACGTAAATCAGGACACGTTGTACTCAGAAACCGACGGCCCTTCCATTCCTGGAGCCCCCAGCACTGGGGCAGAGATGAGCATGGCCTTCAGAGGCCCTTCCATTCCCGGAGTCCCCAGCACTGCCATCCATTCTGGCTCATACAAGATGGGGCCGGTCAGTGCCCCCCAGCCAGCAACAGACACGAGGACTCAGGCAATGGATGGGTCGTCAGGGAGTGAGGACCAGAGGCTGTCTAAGATCCAGTGCAGCAGCCCCCGAGAGCCTGCCCCAACCGTGAGACAGCCAGCCCCTTAACAGGAGAGGGCCAGAAGCAGCTCTGCTCCTAAACCAAGAAGCGTGGATTTAAACATGGAAGATCGCAGTCAAAAAACTATGTGTGTGTGTGGGGGGGGAGGGCAAGGTGCAATGCAAGGCCCCTGGCCTCTGTAGAACCAGGACAGACAGCTCTGCCTCCCGTGGTTTAAACCATCTGCCGCTCCCTCTTCAATGGTGGGCTCATGGCCTCCCCTTTGTCCCCACCCCGCTGCCCTCCCTCCACTCCTCCCCTGTGACTTCGCACATGAAGTGGCCGTCCCCCTAGCTATACCTTTAGACCTCCTTCCCTACGCCATTACTTTCTTTGCTGACCACGTGCCCTAGGTGGTCAGCTGACTTGAACGTCCTTCTGTTTTATAGTTACAAGTAGTGACTGGTCCAACGCTGCGTTACAACTCAGCATCCTGGAAACAGACTGACGTCCTCTCTTCCAAGCCAGACTCCCCATTTCCACTTTTTTCCCCTCAAATAAATAAAGACATCAATTTTCAATCCTTGCATTATAAAAACTTGGAACCATTCTTCAAGCTTCCTCTTCCCTGACTTCCAGGACAAATTAGAACGAAGATTCCAGCCTGAACTTAGACAAGCAGCTACAGACAGCTTGAAATGTTGAATCAAAGGGGAGAAGAGAAGGGAGAGGGTGGTACTGGGGAGGGAGATACATTCAAAGCTCCCAGTAGGCATGGGTGGCAGTGTCACAGTGGAGACCCTTTGTGCTGTGAACTCATGGTTTACACATGCCCAGGGACACTCTGGTAACTTCACACAGAGTAGATACCCAGGGGAAGTTAACCAGCAGAACAGCACATTCCTATGAACAGAACTACACTCACTTTCACAGACTATGGCCAGAAATCAAGACAGTGCTTCTTCTCAGGACCCTACTTCTACCACCGCCTGCCATGAAAACGCTGTCTTGAAACCTTACCTTCTAAGTCATCTCAGCATCATGTAAATAGCCATTATGGTACCATGACGTTCTTTAGCATCAAGAAACGTATCTTCTGAAACTAACACGCTAATTTTATGCTAGCGATACCATTGGTTCAAAATAAGACATTTGCTCATCTTGGTTGAGAGTGTGAGGGGGCAGGGGAAGGTGTGATGGCCAATGGCTTCTCCTCTGAGATCCCACAGGGCTCCAGATGTCACTGGACATCTAAGTACAGCTCCACCCCCACAGGACACAAGTCCCAGGCCACCGAGTAGGCCTGAGACCTTGGAAAAACCAACAGACCCCATTTCTTCTTAGTGTTACCAGAATTGAGGAATTGTCCACATTCAAGTGAGTGATGGTGGTTTAAAAAATATCTGTGTACAATACTGACAAGTAATAGAAGTCAATATATATATGCGTAGGGACCACGAGGCTCCGTTCCTTCACCCATCTGAAGTTCTTACCGTCTGCTATATGACATAGAGTTGCTTGATGCCAAGAGTTGCATTTTTTTATGTTAAACAGGTAATGAGCTCCCTTGGAATGTTTATACCAAAGTTTAATATTTATAGCGCATATTGCTAATAATGCACAGAAGGAAAATTTTAGGCAAATTTTTAAGATAAATTTTGAAATGCAACTGGCGTTTCAACTTGTCATTATCCTCAGATTAAAAGGAGAAAAAAATGCAGCCTTCCAAATCTCAAACAGGGTAGAACACCCCCTGCCCTGCATCATATGTTCTTCAAAATACACGTGATAAAAACACAAGAACAACATGCAGTTGCCTGGGTGTTCTCATCACCCGGCCCAGACGGGGCTGCCAGGTCATCCCTCTGACTGACAGCTCAACATCTCACCACGATTTCCAGAGAGACCCGTGGGGCTTTCTTTTCCTAACTTGGAAAAAAAAAAGAAGCAATAAATCTGAATGAGATATATATATATATATATATATACATATAACATATATATACATATAATATATATATTATATACACACTCCCCACACTGTTTACAGTTGTTGCCAAAAATCCCACCTTGGTGCAGCAATCAGCATGGGCAACCTGTCCCATACTCTATTCTCAATTTTCAGAGAAGGCCAAGCCACCTGATTCCAATTGCTGGCCCTTTGCCAGACCTCAAAATACATGACTTGCGACTGAAAATGGAAAGACTGACCATGCGAGGCGGGGAGGGGAGTGGGGGGATGGGGAGCCTCTTCCTTCCAGCTTTGGAGCCTCAGGTCCCAGACGGAATGGCTTCCGGGTTTCATAATTCATTCCTTCATTTGAAAGATTCATCTAAATGGACGCCACACTAAAAGTTACAACTAGCATTTCACAAGCATCTGTAGACAACAGCAAATGGGTTCAGGGGCGGGGCGGGGGCAAATGGGATTTTTAATAAATGTTTAAAGAGTTTTTGCTAACTGACACTCCTTCTCCATAGACAAGATTAATGATGAATTTAGCTTTACCCAAAAGAAAGGAAAATTCACAAATATGAAAAGCTTTTTACCTTCTGGTCCTTTGACCTCCCTTATAAGATACTGTCATTTTTCTTTTAGAATAAGGATCCCTTATAAATGAAGCATCGTATTACATTGTGGGCCCTAGAGTCCCACGGGGACCATGACTGGTGACAGAAGGTACGGCTGGAGGGCGTGTGTGGAGAAATCCTCAGGCCGGCAGAAAAGTGCTTGTGTGTGAGTAGAGAGGAGACTCTGAGTGCTGGACAGCCCACAGGACAGGATGAGGGTCCCTAATCTCTACTGTACGCTGCTATCCTGTTACTTCCCTCTTGGGACAGGCCCCTTGATCTGCAAACCAAACAAGCCCAAGTGGCCTTGTACTCTGGCCCATGGAAAGTGGAGAACAAGTGAAGCATAGAGAAAATTCTGGAGTTCTGAGGATTATCCCAATCTCCCCTCTTCTCTCTTGATGATATAAATATACTACGAGTAATTCTTGTTCCATGGTCACAGTCTTCTGGACAGAACCACCAGTACATGTCATACAATACATGATATATATGACATTATATGTCATTATATGACTATACACACACACATAGGTTATGACTTGAGCATCACCAGGAAAAAAATCACATATAGAACCAAAATACTACTTCCTTTATACTGTCACTCATGTCTGAAAAGTTCGTTATTCGTTCTTTTGTACTAGATGCATAGGAAATAATAGTAAGAATAAAAACGCCTTCTAGGGGCTGGGAAGGTGACTCAGTGGTAGAGCGCTTGCCTTGCAGGTATGAGGCCTTGGGTTCAATTCCTCAGCACCACATAAACAGAAAAAGCCGGAAGTGGCGCTGTGGCCAAGTGGTAGAGCGTTAGCCTTGAGCTGAAGAGCTGAGAGACAGCGCCCAGGCCCAGAGTTCAGGCCCCACGACTGACCAAAAACAAAAACAAATAAAAAAAATAAAAAACACCTTCTATTCTCTGAAACCACAGGTCAAATTCTTTAAATGCATTTTATCCTTAAGCCAGTTGCCAAAGAGCATGGTATTATTAACTCAGGAACTTGAGACTCAGAGGGCAGGAACCTCCAACACAAGGTTACAGAGAGCATAACTGTAATGCATACAAGGCAAGCTTTTACAAGATACCATACTTACTCTGTATAACATGGACCACACCCCAGTCACGTGTGAATACAGCAGGAAACACCCAACGAGATCAGACTATTTCAGAAGAGTCCTCTCTAGCCAAAGTTGGCAACAGTGAAAGATGAAGCCAGCCTGACTGGGAATCGTTCAGAACTCATGTGCACAGGACTCTGAGTGTGCAGGAACTGGAGCCACAGCGGAGAGGCTCTTCTAAGGAAATGCTACCATGGAGTGGGATGAAGCAGTGAAAGTAAGGGTCTGGCCCCTCACCTACAGATGGCTATTGCCAATTCAGGCTAGACTCTTGTTACCAGGAAGACAATACCAAACCAGGGTTCCCTCGCACAGCATGCAAACGCGGGAGGCACTGCCACTCAGAAATGACAGCGCCTTAGGAAGAATGGAATTGATTCATAGTGCTACTCCTTTGAAAGAATGACATCCGAGACTTTCAATATGAAATTGGAAAATACCAGAAGAGGAGGATAAAGTCTAGATAAACTTCTAGATGGGCCTTTGAGAATCAAATCTGGCAGGTGGAAGAAAAGAAAAGAAAACCCTTTGGTGCTCACCTGTCTTGGCCACCTGTATGATTTTTTCCGCACTCCCGTCTGGGAACATGTTTAAACGGCAGGTATAGAGGCCGGCGTCCATGTCGGAGGCGTTGTTAAAGTTCAGGGTGATGATATTGGAAGCCTCACTTGAGTTTTTTATGGACACCCTATTAGTATAGGGTGCCGTAATTTCCAGACCCAAAATAGGGTTGAAAATAGCAATCCGCTCTTCCTTCTGGCCATTGCGCTTGAGCCATTCTATCTGGGTCAGTATCTGTGTCGGCAAGTGCGCACACTCCAGACTGAGCTGCTTGGTCAGTTTCACAGTCGAGTCCCAGGATATCTCTGCACACAGAGCTGAAATGGACAACAGCACACAGATTCAGTGAGATAATAATAATAAAAAATAAACAAAATGTACTAATTGAGATTATACTAAAGATAGACAACTGGCACTTGTTAACTTTTAGATTTTTAGCACAAGCAAATAAGTTATCTAAGAAGTTTGGGCAGTGTCACACCCTGACACCAAAAATGAAACAAAAGTGTAAAATTTTGTAAAAAAAAAAAAAAAAAAGAAGAAAAAGGAAGAAGAAGAAGACGATGACGACGACAACATAAAGATTGTCTTTACCTTTGTGCACATGAAGAAGAGCCAAAAGGAAAGGAAGCAAATCCATCCCTGGGAGCCGTTTAGGAGGTTGGTCTATAATAAATAAATAATAAATAAACAAATGTTTGCACACTGTGACATGCACAAGCAGCATGATGCGTTGCTTCAATCCTCGCAGATCTTATCAGCGGCAACTTCTCTTTGACATATGGCACAGGAAATAAGTCTGCACTTCTGAAGCAGCTCTGCTTTCTCTCTTGAAAGCTCTCGGTACTTCTCTTTCGGGGAAGCAGCTTATTTTTAAGATTGCATTGTCTACAAAGATTCATTCATTCAGCAAATGTGGTCTTTTTCCACTTCTAGGCAGTAAGGATAAAATAATACACTAAAAGAAACATACAACTGTTCCTTTCATTGAACTTATATTCAGGTAGAAAGACACAGAAACAAAAAGAGGTTTTATATATGTATATATATATGTCCCTCCCCCACAGTACAACCCCTGCTTTCACTGTATTTGATGTCGGTATTATTTGTGGAGGGGAAGGAGAAAAACAAGTCGTTTAAATAAGGATACAGGTAGACCCGTTGCAACAATGAAAAGTACAAGTTGTCATGTCGAAAACGAACTTTACAACTTTGGTGCAGGAGGATTGGGTGGGGAGCAGGGGGAGGCTGGGAAGGGATGTGAAGGGTAAACAAAGGAGGAGGCTGCAATGCTTGATAAGAAATGTACTCATTATCTTGCCCATGTAACTGTAACCCATCTGTACAGTATGTTCACAAAAAATAAAAATAAAAAAAAACTCAAAAAAAAGAAATGTACTCATTATCTTGCCCATGTAATTGTAACCCCTCTGTACAGTATTTTCACAATAAAAAAATAAAAATTAAATTAAAAAAACAACAACAAAAACAAAAACAGACCAGAGGTATGGCTCAAATGGTAAAGGACCAGTCATGAGTTAAAAGCCAAATGAGGTCACAAATCCCTAAGTTCAGGTCCTGGTATCAGCACACACACAAACACACACACACACACACACACGCATGCACACATGCACACACGTACACACACATATACACATATATACACACGTACACACACATACACATGAGCACATATGCACATACATGCACACATATACACACATACACGTGCACACACACATACACGCACATATACACACACATGCACACACACAATTAGCAATTACAGGTGGGCTTTTTAAAACTTTTATAAAAGTCTTGAATATACTACTTTCATAATAAAAGGGGCTGTTTTTATTTATTTTTTGTATGGTAAGAACATGAGGTTGATTTAGCAATATATATTATAATTAGCTATAAAACTATTTATTCTTTCAAATGATGAGTATAAAATCATTTCTACTCCTTGGCACAGGCCAGAATTTTCTTAATAGAAACCCAGAAACACAACAAATCAAAGAAAGGTTGGACAAATGGGATTGCATGAAGTTGCAGAGCTTCTGCATGACAAAGGACATAGCTAGCAAGATCAATAGAAAGCCCACGGATTGGGAGAAGATCTTCTCTAGCCATACAATGGACAAGGGTCTCATATCTAAAATATACTTGGAACTCAAAAAATTAAATCCCCCAACAACAAATCTTCAAAGAAACAACTGCCCAATAAATAAGTAGGCTAAAGAATTAAAGAGAAACTTCTCTGAAGAGGAAAGAAGGATGGCCAATAGACACATGAAGAAATGCTCAACCTCTCTAGCCATAAAAGAAATGCAAATCAAAACAACATTGAGATACCACCTCACCCCAGTTAGAATGGCAAAAATCAAGAACTCTAATAACAACAGATGCTGGATGGGATGTGGACAGAAGGGAACCTTACTGCATTGTTGGTGGGAGTGTAAACTTGTTCAACCACTTTGGAAAGTAGTTTGGAGGTTCCTCAAAAGACTCCACATAGAGCTCCCCTATGACCCAGCAATCCCGCTTTGGGGCATCTACCCAAATGTTTACAAACAAGACCATACAAAAGCTACCAGCACAACTATGTTTACTGCAGCATTATTTACCATAGCTAAGATATGAAACCAACCCAGATGCCCCTCAGTAGATGAATGGATCAAGAAAATGTGGTATATATACACAAGAAAATGTGGTATATATACACAATGAAATTCTATGCTTCCATCAGAAAGAATGACATTGTCCCATTTTTTAGGAAATGGAAAGACTTGGAAAAAAATTATATTAAATGAAGTAAGCTAAGCCCAAAGAAACATAGGTTCCACGATTTCCCTTATTTGTAATAACTAGTATATGTCTGAGACAAGCAGAAAAGGTCAGATAAGTTGATGTTAGGTGAAATAAATCCCAAGATAACTATTAAAATATTTTTGCTTTCATGCAATTGTTTCTAACATATTTATAAGGTATTTCTTTGTTGCTTTGTATGTCCCTCCCCCATGGTATTAACCCCTGTTTTCACTGTATTTGATGTTGGTATAATTTGTGGAGGGGAAGGGAAAAAACAAATCGTTTAAATAGTGATACAGGTGGACCCATTGCAATAATGAGATGTACAAAACGAACTTTACAACTTTGGGGGCGGGGGGTATGGGAAGGGATGGGAAAGGGAAAACAAAGGAGGAGTCAACAATGCTTGATAAGAAATGTACTCATTACCTTGCCCATGTAATTGTAACCCCTCTGTATGGTATTTTCACAATAAAAAAATAATAAAATCATTTCTAATCACCTCTTTTTATTGTGTACATTATTTCTACAAAGGGGTTTCATTGTGATAGTACCATACATACACGTAATATACTCTGATGAAATGTACCATCCATGACTCTTTCTTGTCTCCCTCTTCTCTTTTTAAACATTTTTAAAAGTTTGTATTATTATCTTCAAAGAACTGTCCACGGTGGTTTCCAGTTCAACTGTTTGTACAATGTATCATCATCCATCAGCTTTCTATCATTTTCCCACCTCCATCTGACTACCAACTTCATCAAGTTCCTCAGTTCTATTTTCACATACGTATACTGAATATTATGATCATATGTTCACCCATTTTGCCTCTCTCCATTTGCTCCTTTCCCAGTTGGCCAGGCTAGCTTTCTTCCATTGTATATTTTGGGTTCCTTTGTCAGAATTCAGGGGGCTGTACATACATAGATTTATTTTTGGTTCTTCTAGTCTGTTCTTTTGGAATAGTTCTATTTATTGAAAATGGTTTGATCCATTGATTTGAATCATTTATTAAGTAGGGTATTTGTTCTTTGTTTCTAATTTTCTGAATTCTTTATACATTCTGGATAATAATACCTTGTCTGATGAGTAGCTTGCAAAGATTTTCTCCCACACAGTAGGCTTTCTCATCACTACAATAGCTGTTTCCTTGATGTGCAGAAACTTTTTAATTTGATGAAATCCCATTAGTCATATCTTGCTTTTACATCCTGGATAATTGGAATCCAATCAGGAAATCCTGTATATTTTTATTCTAGTATTTCAAAGTTGGACCTAGTATTTTAAGGTCTTTGATCCACTTTAAATAGATTTTCTTTTTGCAGGCAGAGAGAGGGGGAGTTAGTTCCACTCCTCTACCTGTGCATAGCCAGTGCTAGCACTAGTTAAGGTCTGTTCTCCAACTTGCATTTTAGTATGTTTATTGGGAGTCAGATGACTATATGTGTGTGCTTATTTGTGGCCCTCCATTCTAGTCCATTGATCCTGAGTCTTTCTCTGATGAAACCACGCAGTTGTGTTACTATGGATTGGATGATCATTTTAAAATGGGTATTGCTCTTTTTGCTTAGGATTTCTTTGCCTATCAAGGATCATTTTTGCTTCTATCTGATTAGGAAAGAAAAAAGTCACACAAAGGGATAGGAAAATAACTGAAAAAAGTGGATGATAGCTTACATAGCAGAAGAACTTAGTCACATGAGGCAAAGGGAAAATAGTCAACGTGAGAATAAAAATAAAATAATAATAAAAAATAAAAATAATGAGAAGCCAAGACTGGATGTTCATATCTATAATGTTAGCTACTCAGGAGACTAGGACCTGAAGACTGCACTTCAAAGGCAGCCCAGGCAGGAAAGTCTATGAGATTCTTATCTTCAATTAGCCACCCCAAAAGCCAGAAGTGGGGCTGTAGTTCAGTGGTAGAATGCCAGTAAAAGCTAAGGGACAGTGCCTAGGCTCTGAGTTCAATCCCCCCTACCAACACACACACACACACACACACACACACACACACACACACACCACAAAACTATAATGAGGAAATCTCTTTATACCTAGAACAGTTACAATCAAAAATAGAGAAAGTAATCATCTTAGAACCTGTGTGCATTGCTCATAGGAATGTAAAATGCTGCAGCTGCTATGGGAAAGACTGTCAGTTCCTGAGAGAGTTAGAAACAGGATTATCATATGGCCTAACAACTCTATTGCTAGACATATGCCTAAAATAATTAAAACTAGACGCTCAAATAAGCACTTGAGCACCAGTGTTCAGAGAAACACTATTCTCTAGATCCAGAGGTAGAAAGAACCTGAGTATTCACCAACAGGTAAATGGATTTTTTAAAATGTTCATATATCCATTCAGGGGAATAGCATTCAGCCATAAAAGGAATGAAGCAATGATTTGTGTACACGTGAATGGATCTTGAAAGTACACTATGAAATATGAAAGGCGGCAGACATAAACAATCTTATACAGTGCCATCCCATTGATATGAAAGGTCCAGAGAGGCAAATCCAATGCTGCTTACTAGGGGGCTAGAGAGAGGAGAGCACAATGAAAGTTCTGCTTAAGGAAAGGGGTCATCTTGTAGGATGGTGAAAATGTTGAACATAGTCAAAGGTGACCATTCCAGAACATGGTGAGAATGCATCAAATGCTAATGAATCATGCATTGTAGTGGTTAATTTTGTGAAATGCAAATTTCCATGAAAAACCACTGCTAGTGAATTTCAAAAGCTCAAAGGCTCCTCACATCTTCCCAGGTGCGGAAGCCACCACATTGTGCTGCTGGCTGTGTAGTATTAATGTCACGTGCTCTCCCATCACCCTGGCCCCCAGTGCTAATGAACCACACACACATTCTAAGAACAGAGCCTTGCATAGACAGCATGCCCCACTTTCCTGGTAGCAGCAGGAAATAAATAATGCAGAAGACCAGAGTCCAGGGTGTCATATAAATAATGTAAGGTGTGAGAATCCAAAGAAACGCTTACTAATGCACTTACAAATGTGTGTGTGAGAGCGCACCTATGCGTGTGCTCAGGAAAAGTGTCAGAAGCGTGTGTTGGGTAAAGAGTGGCCAACGTATAAGTAGGAGTTAAAAGGCCTGAGGACCAAACACGTAGCCATGACAGTGTACTAAAACAAATTAGAGGTGACAGCACCCTGTAGGCCCCGAGGGGTTCTTACCACCAGCCCTAATAGAACTTCTTCTAGCGGGGAGAGAAATACACGGGTGTATAAGGAGACTGGCAAAGGGAAGGTTGCTAGCTGAGAAGAACTCATGTGGATCTCTGCATTCCCAAGATACCCAGAGCCCAAAGGATCACAAGTGACCAAAACTTATGCACACTCATACTCAGAAACTGAGGGCCCTGGAGGTCAGGAATTGACAGGAAAGGCAAGACAGCCATGTGCCTGGAGATAAAGTTCCACTGTTAAACTTCGCTTGAGATGAGCCTATTTATCAACATCTAACCAAAGACAAATAGAGACTATATCAGAGCTATTTTTGTAATGTTGGCAGCCATTTTTTTGCATGATTTATGAAGGGGTTTTGGCTTGAGGGGTTTTTTTTCTAATAGAGCTGTCTCTATGAAAGCGCTTTGTCTTCAAGGAAGCCATTAATCAAAGTATCAGTGGGTTTCTCGACTATTTCAAACATCTCAGCGAAGCCCACAAGCATTTGTTCCAGGCGTTTCCTCTAAATGGGGACTCCAGCTGACCCGGACAGCCATCTTCCCATGTTGTTCATTTCCACAAGCAGCCACCCCCATGTGGCCCCCATTCCATGCTTCTGTTTCTGCAATAAGCTCTGCTGCTCCAGATGCTGTACCATTTCTCAACATTGGGAGGATTCTAGTTGCTACTCCATCCCCCTAACCACACTCTCCCAATTCATGCTGAAAGGCTTGGTGATAACTTTGCACACTCTCTCAGATAGCAGACCACCTACTAGCCAGCCCGTCCAGTGAAGCCAGAAGGCCCAGGCAGCTCTAAGAACACGTGGAGAAAATGGAAGTTCAGGTGTGAGGTCCCAGTTCTCTCTTCTTTTTCTCAGATGGAAGGGATCTGACTGCACCTCTGCTGGACTACCTTGGCTGCAGGAGAGGTGCGCGCTTCCATCAAGACCCCGTGAGTCTACCTGCAGCAGCGAATCACTGATGCGGGGTCTTGTAAACCATGGCTTCCTTAGAACCCCAGCAACACTTAGATCTTGCCCCCCCACACACACACAAAGAACAAGACTGCAATACACAAGTCCTATAATACCCACTTCCATTTGGATGACAATCTTTACTGAGTTCGGCAGAAAAACTTCAGAACTGAGTTCATCAGGTGGTACACCATCTGATCAGGTAACACTGAATATCCTCCTGTGTACAAGTTATCTGTGGCTAACAGGTATTCAGTTGTACTGGATTGCACTTGTATTAGCTCCTGCGCTCTCTACAGAAAGTGTGCCAACCTGTGTAGTGAAATCAGTCTTTGCAAGGCCCAGCAATTGTTGGATTTATCCTTACTTGCTCCTTCTTAAGAAAAGGCAAGTTAAACCTAACAGCTTACCTCAAATTTCTTAGTTTCAGGAACTAATAATATCTGGTTTGTCATCAATACAATTTTTCTGGCAATAGGCTGAGGAAAAGTACTTAAATGTCATGTTTACCAAGCTCATTAACTCCCAGGTTTGTGGAGATAAAAATCATCCAGTTAGGCATCGCTCTCCTCTCCTGCCACATCTGTCTGCTTGTCATATCATACACCAACCCTTCCTCCTACTGATGACGGATTTTCTCTGAGAGGAAACTAACCTTGCGATCTGAGTTCAGATGTTCAGCCTCTTCTTCCAGCTGGGTGTTGGATAAAGTCTTCCAGTTTGGGGTGGCTCAACTTCTGGGCCACTGACCTGCAGTTTCTGTCTCTTAGTTCACACAGCTGGAACCGCAGGTAGCTGCCCTCCTGCTGGGAACAAATTCATCCCCTGCTCTGAGCTCTTCTGCTCACCACTGAGAAGTCCACATTCGCCACCACCTGATGCAGTAGCTACTCTTTTGTGAAGCAACCACTTGTGAAGCCACGAAGTCTCTCCTCTTCTAGAAGCATCTTTACTGGTTGGCTACTCATAATCATTCCAGCTCAGATACAGTTCTGTGGCTCTCTTTTACTTTGATCCTTTGGGCCCTACAGGTTGAGAGGAGGCACTTACCCTGCTCTGTTCTAATTCTAAATTGAAACAACCTGCCAAAAACTTCCTGACCTTCTCTTCCCCATTTTCCCCCTACCAATCAAAGCACAGTATATTCAGCGTTTGCTTACATTCAGTAAACTTTCTTATCTCTACCCCTATCTAAACATGTTTCCTGTCTTTCCTGTTAAATATGGTTTCTTCTTTTTTTTTTTAATGCTTTGCAGTCTTGCGATCAAAACAAAAGTACACAGATTGATATTTCCAAAGAAATGCCTTCGCCTTCCTAGTAGCTGCTAGGTTTCAGGACCATCTTAGTTTCTTAGGTGGATCAGAGAACAGTAATATCCGTTTGGTTTACTATTTGGATTTATTAAGTTATGCCCCTTCTCTACTGGTTAGTCCTCCAGGAAGAATTTGTGGAGGCCTGAGTTCATGCAATTCACACTACTAGAAAGAAAAGGCAGTATTACCTTTGGAGGGTGACTCACACCTGTAATCCTAGCTCCTCAGGAGGCTGAGATCTGAGCATCCCAGTTCAAAGATAGCTTGAACAAAAAAAGTCCAAGAAACTCATCTCCAATTAACCAGCAAAAAGCTGAAAGTAGAGGGACAGCTCAAGTGGTAGAGCATTGGTCTTGAGTTAAAAAGCCAAGCAATAGTATGAGACCCTGAATTCAAGCCCAGTACTAGCACACCAAAAAATAAAATAAGGCAAAACAAAAGGTTTTATTTGGCAGACAGGAAAGTGCTTACCAGGGCCACCTGAACTTTACACTGAGGTGCAGGGCTAGAGTCTTCTGTGAACCCATCTGTCTGTCTGAAACATGCAAGGAGGCGTGGCACTTGGCTCCTCGGCCACACAGATGTTTATTGGCCCTTGCTGAGAGATAGGTTTGAAGGTTTGTTCTTCTCTGTGTGAGTCTTGCCTCACATAATCTAGACTTATATAGGCCAAGATCTGCCCCCAAATTCCTCTCCCTTTTCTAATCCTCATCCATATGCAAACATACATACACAGATCATCATCCTCATCACCACTGTCATCAATCTCATTTCTATCATCCACATCACATATGATCAGCTACACCCATAACAAAGTTTTTGCTACTATTAAGGGAAACAGAATGGAGACAGCTTTTGTTGTTTGTCGGAAGAGATCATCTATGTCGTTCTGATAGTTCCTTCTGGGAGAACCTTGAAATTTTGTCAAGCAGAGAACCTAACAGTTAGCTTTGAATGGTTGCCTAAGGAACACCACGCAGTCCTGATTCACAGACATATTCTCCCCACTGTGAAGCTTCCTGTTCATATCTCAGCAAGTAAGAGTGAGGTGGAAAGCAACCAATCGTCAGGGGACAAACCTACCCGCCCCCTGCATCTCACAGCACTCACCTGACTTGTTCCCATCCCAGAGCAACTGGAGGCAGAAGGAAGATCATCTGAGAGACAGAGACAGACAGGACGACTCCTCCTCCGACTTTAGTTACCCTCGCAAAAGGCTTTTCAACAGTTTAAAAGTGAGAATGCTCTAAAACATTACCACCTCTAGACAGAACCAAGAAACAGTAAAACAAAAACAAAAACATTTCAGTGCTGGTTGGGGCAACACGTTAACTACTACTTCATTCTGGTTTCTTTCTGGAAGTTACCAGAACACGAACTCATTCTTATAACCCAGAGTAAGAAAGGTGAGAGAGTCAAGCACATAATCTCCCTTTCCCTTGCGAATCTTCAGAGAAAAATTAGCCTTAGTTAAAAAAAGAAAAGCACAGATATATCTTTAGATCACAATTTTGTCACCCCACCCAACTAAGGTAGTAAATCAAGACAACTGTTAACAGGAGGTGAAAGAATCTGGTGAAAGGTAAATAGAACACTGTTTAATAAAAGATGTTCCTGATCTGTAAAACTTAACCCCGATGATCAGTTAGAATTTCCCTAAAAATGGTACAAGCAGCTGGAAAGACTCCTAATCAGAACTTAGAATAATGTATTCATTTATATCAATATAATAAAATTTAGATTTATTAATAATTTTAATGAGAAAAATGCACATTTTTGTGGTCAGTTGTGGGTCTTGAACTCTGGGCCTGCATACTGTCCCTGAGCTCTTCAGCTCATGGCGAGCACTCTACCACTTGAGCCACAGCTCCACTTCTGATTTTGTGGTGGTTTATTGGAGTTAAGAGTGTCACAGACGTCCCTGGCTGGCTTTGAACCATGATCCTCAGATCTCAGCCTCCTGAGTAGCTAGGAGAAAAGTGGACTTTCAAAAGCTGAGAATACATTTTATAAACCTAGGAATTGAGATGGAATTGGGGTTTAGAGAGATATATATGTATGGAATTTTTATATGCATCTATATGTATGCATAGGTATGTATGTATGTACATATGTCTATAAGGAGGAAAATTTAGACCTCGCTCATGGCAAACATAAACTAAATGAAACAAAGAGATAAGCAATAACATAAGTACTCAAATATCAACCACAAAAAACACAACGTATGAATACTAAAGTATCAACCATAAGAAAACACATTCTCAAAAAAAGACAACTGATGACTGTTAAATTAATTCACAAAACCTGTACTAATCAGATTTACGAATATATAAACAGAAAGAACAGTGATACCCACTCTTAGCAAGAACTTGGGGTGGGGTCGGGGCCTCGTTGGCTGATTTCCGTAGGTGGGAATGCCCTGGCATACATTGTCTACACTTGCTGTATAGCTCCAGAGTTAAACAACCTATATGAAATTTAAAAATAAAAATAGACGCTATATCCTCAGACCTTCCAAAACCATAGCGCATGTTTTATCCCAAGAGGGAAAAAGGTAAATTTAGCAGCTATATACCTTTTTAAATGCATACCTTTTAAATACCTTTTTAAATGAATATTTACTACAGCATATTCTTATCAGCAATATTCCAAGTGAAGAACTCCCCCCCACACCCGCCCCAGCCCCTCCCCACAGCCCCACCCGAGTCAGAAGTGCACTTGAGGATGTGAGAGCCGCCATCTGTTCTGGGCGTGGAGCCTCTCCCTGCTGCTCACCTGGGCGCCCGCTGCCAAGGCCTAGGCCCAGCTCACCACACAGCCCTCGGAGCTCTCCTGCTTTCTCATCTCATCGCACAGAACCCGAGGGTCCAGGGGAGTGAACCCTGACTGGCAGCTGGGTTTCAGGGACTCTAGGTCTTGAGTATGTCTGGTAATGATGCGTGCTAAGTTTTTCTTTGGGATTTTTTTTTCTAAAAAAATAAAGCATCAGGAAGCAGCATGTAGCTCCGCTCTGCGGACAGTGGCTATCTCTTTCCTCCAGGCCCTGTCCCCTGACACGGCTCCTTCTTTTTGCCTCTGGATTCCACATCACTCAGGGCTGCCCCTTGTGATACTTTAGGGCTACTCAGGGAGATGGAGACGTTTGCCATCTGAGAAGCAAAGAATAAGGTGTGTGCACAGTCCTGCTGTTCACCAGCCTGGACCTTCAGCCCTCAGCCTCCTTGGAGAAGCACAGGACCCCAGTGAGCACAGGGGGAGCAGACCCCACTTCCTGTTGCCTTGTGCCCCCTGGGCTCCACCCCACCAGGGTCAGAGGAGAATCGTCCAACCTGCGGTCCCCCAAGAGAAAAGGCTCAACGGCCGCTTTGTCTGCCACACTCCGGCCATGACTGCATGCCAGGTTGTTAGAAGAAATTTTTATTTTCCCAAATGACAGAAAATCTATCTGTGCCCAAATTAAGATACATCCTTTTTACTTTCTTTAAAAACAAAACAAAACAAAAACTAATTCTGAACTTCTCTTGCCATTTTCCTGCTTTTCTGAAAGAAGTGAGTCATGTCGTTTCCATCAGAGCAATTTGGTCCTCATCTCCACAGCCCCCCCCTTCTCCCTTCCCCAGGAGGGACGGTCCCCAGCCCCAGCTGCATCCCCACCACCCCTCCCAGTCAGTCAAGTGCTAATTATGCGAACCTGTTACAGTCATGTGGTCTGGTCAGTCATTAGGTCTGTGGGCCTGTTCTCCTCCATGCCTTGCTACAGTGGTGTCTTGGTTTGGATGAGAAATCCTGTCTTAGGGGACTGTAGGTTTGAAGGCTCACCTTCTAAGAAAACAGACTCATAGCAAAGCCAGGGTGGGTAGTGATGCTGGTTATATGAATGACCAAGGCTTCCAGGGCCCCGCCTCCCCCCAAAGACCAGCCTCAGTCAGGACTTCTGTGATCCAGGAGACAGCTGTCAGGGAAGCACAGCAGCCTCCATCTGCCTCTCCTCCACACCTGTGGCTTCACTGGGAAGATGCCCACCTTTTCCCCAAGCCAAGAGGTCCTGAGAAGGGCAGAGCACCATCAGACAGAAAAGCAGCCTCGCTTCCAGCCAACGGAGCCGGACTACCTCTGCTGGCTTCCACACCAGGTAGATAGTGCTTTGTGAAAACAAAACTATGTCCTGGGGAGACGGCTCCTCTGCTCGCTGGAAACTGAAGGAGCTTGCTTCAATCACAAACTGAAGAAGCGAGCCACTATGGATATGCAGATATGATATAGCTTTGCGATCTCCTATGTCATCAGCTGCTTTGTGCCATGATGGAAAGGGGTGGGGCCTCCTGCCTTGTGTTTTCATGCTTTGGGTCTGTGCACCCTCAAAACTCAGACACAAGCGCCTCAACTGTGAGCATGCCATCTTCACTGCTCCACCAAACGCCACCTGGCATCTGGCTTTGTCAAGGAGGGAGCAAGTAGGTCCCAGACATGGGCCTGTTAGTACTGACACTAGGACAGGCCCAGAAACAACGGGGGAGGAGGGGGTGCCTGGAGACCACAGCGGTTACCCCAGGCCAAGAGCAGCATCCCCCAGAGCAGGTGATCAATAAATGAGTATTGCCTAACTACCATCTTTAACTGCTGTTCTGCAGGCTGTTCTTAGAGTTCAGAGCAGGGCTCAGTGGAGAGCCTGGTCTGTACCTTCCCTGCCCCCGGGGGAGGGCAGAGGAATGGCACCCTCTCACCTGCGACCTCTCTATGCGCTGGGGTCCTGCTCCTGAGCCTACAGATGCCACAGTCCCTGCCAGCAAAGCCTCTG